TAGGAAATAATTAAGAGAGGGACGGCACTAGAATTAAGAGGTGTTGGGAAAGGCTTCTTGTAGAAGATGGGATTTTAGTTGGATTTAAAGGAAGCCAAGGAAGCCAGGAGGTGAGATGAGGAGGGAGAGCACTCCTGGCATGGTGAATGGCCAGAGAAAAGGCCTGGCACCAAGAGATGAAGCGTCTCTTTCTTGGAACAGCCAGGAGGCCAGAGTCACCGGATCAGAGAGTCCATGATGGGGAATAAGATGTCAGAAGATTGGAAAGGTTGGGCAGGGCTCTGAATGCCAAAAAGCATTTTGTATTTGCTCCTGTAGGCAATAGGAAGCCAATGGAGTTTATTGAGTAAGAAGAGGACGTGGTCAGACCTGCACTTTAGGAAAACCACTTTGGGAGCTAAATGGAGGGCGGCTTGGAATAAGGAGAGTCTTGAGGCAGGCAGACCCACCAGCGGGCTATTTCAGTAATCAAGGAGTAAGGTGATGGAAGCCTGTACTAGAGTAGTGACAGTGCCAGAGGAGAGAAGGGGTTGTGTTTGAGAGAGGTGGGAATAATGAAATCAACAGGCTTTGGCAATAGCTTAGATGGGGGGAGGGGATGAGAGATGGTGAGGAATCCCTAGGTTGAAAGCCTGAAGGACTCTGAAGATGGTGTATCCCTCCACTGTGATAGGGAGGGGTTTGGGGAAAAGAGTTCCATTCTGGACCTGTTGAATTTCAGATGTCTACTGGACATCCAGTTCTAGATGTCTGAAAGTCAGTTGGAGATTCGAGACTGGAAGTCAGCAGAGAGGTTAGAACAGTTTAGATAGATTTGAAGACTTATCAGCATAGCAATGGTCATTCGATCCATGGGTGCTGATGAGAACACCAAAGGAAGCAGTATTGAAGGAAAAGAGGAAAGGGCCCAGGACAGAACCCTGAGGGATGCCTGTGGTTGGATGAGGATCCAGCAGGAGAGTCTGAGAAGGAGTGGTCAGATACATAGGAGAACCAGCAGAGAGTGGCATCCCCAAAATCTGAAGAGAATAGAGTGTCAAGGAGGAGAGGAGGATCAGCAGGGTCAAAGGCTGCAGAGAGGCTGAAGGGCAATGGGGATTGAGGTGGCCCTTGAGCTGGCCTTCAATTAGGAGAAATGGCTAATTATTCGCTGTGTGTCCATGGGCAAGATCCCTCTTACACTTCTGTTACATTATCTGTAAAATGGGGGCAATAATACTTGCATTTCCCCAGCTCATAGCACTGGGGTAAGAAGAATGCTTCGTAAGTCACAAAGTGCTAGATAAAGGACATCTATACATGTAAACCGATGTTCTGGGTCAATACATATGAGAGGTATTGGTAATTTCATGGCTTAAGGTTAATGCATTATTTTCCTCCTCTGCCTCCCCACGCCTTTCAAATGGAGCCGATTGTGATAATATTCTCATCCATGAAAGGATACATATGCAAGTGGGGAATGGTCCTGATTTGGAGTGTGTTGTCTCCTTGGGATGGATTACAGGGTAACATCAGCTGCTACAGGAATTACTAGGCTTCAAACGTTAGCTTGAGATTTGGGGGCTTTGGAAAATTTGTCTTGGATGGGCAGTTCATTTGCATTGATTTTGGACAGGCTGTTTAAACAGGGATTTGCTCAGGGCCAAAGGGATAGCCACAGCCAGAGGCCCGATTTATTCTGTTCCCCCAATTCCCCAAGGAAGGCCCTTTGCTTATTCCTTTCAGAGGAAAATATTGTAATATGTTTCTCTGGACTTTAAGCCACTCCCTTTGTTTCTAGTTGTAAAACTGGATGGAAAATCCAGGGTTTGAGACAGTGGTTTATGATTGCTGTTGCATAAGAAGTGGTGATTAACTCCACATTTTGAAAGGAAGGGAACATATGGGATCGCACTAGGTGCCCTGACCTTAGAAAAAGGTTTTGGGATAGTGGTTTTTGACGTGGAAGACATATAGGTTAGGAAAATCAAAATAAAGTAAACTAGCGTCAGTATGTAGAAATTACGAGTTAAATGAAGTCCCTCCTGACTCTTGAAAATTGGTGCCCAAGGATAGTTTGGTATCTTAGTTTTTATAGGAATTAATCACTATGTATCTCTTGGCTTAAAATCAGATTCCTAGAATGTCTGAGCAAGAAGGGACCTTAGAGGTCCTCTATGCTACTCATTTTCCAGATGGATAAACTGGGAAGCAGACGTCAGTAGTCTTTTAAAAATGCTTGTGCTTTTAAGTGTATGTGTCCCAAGGCCAGGAATAGAGCTTATGCACACCTCAACAACAGCAACACTCCCTGTCCCACCTCCCCTGCTTGCTCTCAAACCTCACCTGTGGGAATCCTGCTTTCCCTTCTAGATTCCCTCAGTGAAGCCCTCCCTGATTCGTGCCTCACCAACATGTTAGGTAGAAATGAGCTTCTCATTGACTGTCCCCTACTTTGTGCTTCTGTGAGGCACCACATTCTGCTTCCTATTCTAGCTCTGGGATGTACATCACTCCTCCCCTCCTAAATAATAAGAGCCAGAATTCTGGCTTGTTTTATCCCTTTGGCCTACCGTACTACCTGGTACACAGACAGTGGTTAAGTGATGCTCACTGAGTGAGTAAATGAATCCATGAAGGAGAAGTGGTGTGCCACATTCTTATCCTTTTCTTTCTTTTGACCTAGCAGTATTTCTTGGGAGAAGGGGGTGCTCAAGGCCTGACTCTGGAAGGCTGACTGCTGATGGTAGCATGAGGCCGCTTAAAGTTACTCTTTGTGTATGTGTGCACATACATGTGTGTGCATGTGCTCACCCACTTCAGGAGTGTTAGTGCCTCTTTAAATCATGTTTGAACAGTGGTTTCCTTACTTGGAGCTTCTCTCTGCCAGTAAGAGGATAACCAGCCAGTTCTCTTAGTGTCCTTCATAAATAGGTGACTCAGATTAATCCTGCAGTCTTTGCCTGATCACTCAGCCAGCTGTTGGCAGCAAAGAGGATGCCAGGCTGACTCTTACTCCATTTCTTCCCCTTCCACAACTCCACCCCCAATAAGAATCTGTGGGATCAGAAGATCATAGATTTAGGGGTGAAAGGGATTGTAGAGGCCAGCGAGTCCAACTGTTCCATTTTACAGGTGAAGAAACTGAGTCTGAGAGTGGCTGAGTGACTTTCACAGTGTCACACAGTAGGGCAGGGTTTGAACTTGGGTCTTCATGATTCCAATCCAGTCCTCTGTTCTCTGTGCACCCAGGGTGTTGTGAAATCAAAAGGTAATGCTCAGAAGCCACAGGGAAGTCATTTATGTCTTTTGGGGCCTTGTCACTTTTCTCCAATTCAGCCAAGACCCAGTTTGGAATAAATAAATGAATAAATGAAAAAGCACTTATGAAATGTTTACTAGGTACAAAGCATTGTGCTAAGCACTGAGGCTACAGTTGGAAAAGACAATCTTTGCTCTTAGGGAGCTCACATTATAATAAGACAACAACACATAAAGCATCTTTAAAAAGTTTCCATTAATAAAATCAGTATTAAATTCTTAACCGGTTGGTGGGGTAAAGGACTTCAACACTAAGAACTTTTTCCTCAAAAAAATTAAACTTAATTTTTATAAAATTAACAAGTATTTATTTTCTCTTCTTCCCACACCCCTGGCCCTCAAAAAGAGAGAAAAAGAAAAGCCTGGTAGCAGTTGTGCGGTCAAGGAGTAGCTGTGGCCTCAGACTATAATATGGCTGGAGTTGGGGTGGGTGGGGTGGAAAGCAGGTTGGATACACAGCCCCTAGTCTGGGGAGTGCTGCTGTTTCGAGACTCAGGGCCTTACCAAATTTATCAGTTTAACTATAGCAGAATTATTGGCCAAACTGATGAGCTAACGTGGGAAGAGCTTGGCTTTCGAAGCTGATTGTGGCCCTTCACCTGATGCAAAATGGAAGTCATCTGAGGCCCCGGGAGAGGTAATGGCTAGACACCAACTAGGGTGCTTTGCAGATAATAGGCAGACAATCAGGATTCATTGGTTCAGTAAGTGAATGAATGAAAGCTCCCAAGCAGGATCTCCTTTTCTACTCATTGCAGTCAACTTGAAGAAGCTATTTGGTTAAATCTCACTGTGCCACCTTTCTTTGTGGTTTCGTAAACTGTTCCCTAAGGCCTGAGCTCAAGATAGTGAGTCCCACCCTGGCATGGAGGCTGTAGAGGTGACAGTTATTCCATGCTTTCCGGAGCCCCGGATTAGAAGACCTCATCTCTTCCTGCTCCCACCCTTCTCTCATCGCATTCCACCTCAAGGGAACACATTGCCTTATGAGGGATAGGAGTGGAGTTTTCTTTTTCCTTCAGCTGCTTTTCTCCAGTGTCAGTCGCTGCATGAGAGCGTGGTGGAAGGCAAGGCCTCAGTGTGTACAAGTTTATTAGGGAACCTCACCAATTCATTGCCGCAGTGCCGGATGACAGCTGGTGGAGTCACTGATCTCAAGAGTGTGAGTGAGCTGCTTTGTGCTCTAAACGCAAACCACATTCACAAAAAGCCCTGGGCTTTTAGCAAAGAGCTCAGGATGGGCGCAGCGAAGCTCAACATCTGCTTGGTGATTCTGCAAAGGAACTTGGGCCCTTACTTTACAAATCCACCTTGCATGTTTGTAAGCAACTGTTTCTATCCCTTCCCAGGTCTGTCAGCGACACCTGGAGGGGCATCATCCCCTAGCTGTCTGTGGTTCTTTCACTCCTCATTTCTGACATCACATTAACCAGCTGGTATGCCCATTGTGCCAGAGACACTTTACTAAACTCTAGGGTGGCAGTGAAGGGGGTAAAGTCAGGATTCTGCTTCTGGGCCCATTCTCAAACTTATGATCTATTGGGAGGTAAAAGACAAATAGAAAAATGGTCAATAGCATGATGGCATTGAAATACTGCATTGGAATAATAGAACTATAGAATATACACTTTGGTGAGGGCAGGCCTAGACATTGAGGAATCATCATTTAGTCCAACCCCCTTCCCTCTGTTGTTTTGTAGATGAGGAAACTGAGGCTGAAACAGGGGAAGCAACTAGCTCGAGGTCCCGCAGCTCATCAGAGGCCTCCTGCCTCCCAGGCGAGTGTTGTTTGCCCTGCTTGACCCTGAACTGTGGCTTAAGCCCAGCTGTGGCTTTCACATGGAAGTGCTCACTGATGACAGACCTACAGAGATACTGGGCAAATGCCTTTGATTTTTACTTATTTATTTGTTGTGGAATCATAGGCTTCAAACTGACAAAGAAAGTTGGGGCGGCACGTCAGTCTCTTACAGCATCATGGTAAGGAGGAAAGAGTGCTGGCTTTGGAGTTGGGAGGCCTGGGGATCGAGCCTCATTCTGCTGCTTATCAATGTCCCCCCATTGTTAGTGTTCTCTAGCTTTTGGAATTACTTGGTTTGCACTTTGTGCATTTACTTACCTGTATGTATCTGACCACTGCCTCACGTGATCTGCCCTCCCTCTTATCACACCCCTATCCCCTGTCTCTTAGCCCCTTCCCCTCCCACTTCCCTATTGGGAACCAGCTGAGTGTGTGAGTTCAGGGAAGAGTGAGGTTCAACTGTTGCTCACTCCATCCCCCCCATTGTAAAACCCTTTCTTGCACACTATTTTTATGTGAGATAATTTTCCCCATTCTTCCTCTTTCTTCCCCTTTTTCCCATTAATGCCTGTTTCTCATCCTTCTGTTTTTCTTTTGTTTTGTTTTGTTTTCTTTTTTTTTTTTTTGGCTAGGCAGTGGGGTTAAGTGACTTGCTCAGGGTCACACAGCTAGTAAATGTTATATGTCTGAGGCCAGATTTGAACTCAGGTCCTCCTGAATCCAGGGCTGGTGCTCTATCCACTGCATCACCTAGCTGCCCCCCCTTCTGTTTTTCTTTTGAAATTATCTCAACTTAATAGACTCATACCCTTGCCCTCTGTCTAAGTAGATGCCTTTAATGGCCCTAATGATGATAAAGTTCTTGGGAGTTACACGTATCATCTTCCCATTTGGGATAATGAACTGTTTAACCTTATTAAGTTCCTTATGATTTCTCACTTGTTTTTACTTTATTATGCCTCTCTTGAGTCTTGTGTTTAAATATCAAATTTTCTATTCACCTCTGGTCTTTTCATCAGGAATGCAGAAGTCCTTTATTTATTTATTTGGCAAGGCTATTGGGGTTAAGTGACTTGCCCAGGGTCACACAGCTAGCAAGTGTCAAGTGTCTGAGGCCAGATTTGAACTCAGGTCCTCCTGACTCCAGAGCCAGTGTTCCATCCACTGTGCCATCTAGCTGCCCCAGAAGTCCTCTATTTAATTAAATATCCATTTTCCTCCCTGAAGAATTATACTCCGTTTTGCTGGTAGGTTATTCTTGGCTGTAATGCTAGGTCCTTTGCCTTACTGAATGTCATATCCCAAACCTACTCCTATACTGTGGTGGCTGCTGAATCTTATGTGATCCTGACTGTGGCTCTTTGGTATTTGAATAGTTTTTTGGGCTGCTTTCAATATTTTCTCCTTGACCTGGGAACTCTGGAATTTGACTACAATATTCTTGGGAGTTTTCATTTTGGGACCTCTTTCAGGAGGTGATTGGTGGATTCTTTCAATTTCTATTTTGCCCTCTGGTTTTACGATGTGGGAACAGTTTTCCTTTATAATTTCTTGAAATATATCTAGGCTTTTTTTTTTATGTCATGGCTTTTGGGTAGGCTAGTAATTCTTAAACTATTTCTCCTCAATCTGTTTTCCAGGCCAGTTATTTTTCCAATGAGATATTTCATATTTTCTTCTATTTTTTCGTTCTTTTGACTTTGACTGTTTCTTAATGTCTCATGGAGTCATTAACTTCTGCTTGACCTATCCTAATTTTTAAGGAATGGTTTTATTCAGTGAACTTTTGTACCTGGGTTTCTTTCTTTCTTTCTTTCTTTCTTTCTTTCTTTCTTTCTTTCTTTCTTTCTTTCTTTTTCTTTCTTTCTTTCTTTCTTTCTTTCTTTCTTTCTTTCTTTCTTTCTTTCTTTCTTTTTTACCATTTAGCCAATTCTGCTTTTTAAGGTGTTTTTTCTTTACTATTTGGCCAATTCTATTTTTAGGGAGTTATTTTCTTCATTATTTTTTGTGTGCCTACTTAGCCAAGCTGTTGATTCTCTTTTCATAATTTTCTTGTATTGCTCTCAATTTCTTTTCCTAATTTTTCCTTTAGCCCTCTTGTTTGATTTCTAAAATGATATGCTTTTTTATTATCTCTTTGTTTAGCTCTTCTGGGAATTCTTATTGGGTTTGTGTCTCATCTACATTTTTCTTGGAGTTTTGCTTGTAGATATTTTCACATCACTGTTTTCTTCTGAGTTTGTGTCTTGAGCTCCCCTGTTACCATAGTAGCTTTTTATGGTCAGGTTCTTTTTTTGTTGTTTGCTTATTTTTCCACTCTATTTCTTGACTTTGAACTTTTTATCAGAGTTGGGCTTTGCTTACCTGGGGGTGGTGGGGACTGTCTCAGCCTTCAGGCTTTTTTACCCTGCTTTTTCCATAGTTCTGGGGGTCTATAAGTTTTTGGTTCTTCCAAGGTAATATGATAGGGGAAGTGTGGTCACTGCTTTTTTGGTCCTTTTTCAGGAAGAGTCTTTGCTCTTTTGGGAACGCAAGCACTAGCCCTCCTCTCTGCCCTGGAATTGCAACCAGGAACTGAGTCTTCTATTCCCTTGCAACCATAAGTCCTTCTTTCCACCCTGTAAATGCAACTTGGAACTGGGTAGTAGGCAATGGAGTGAGTGGTCCCACACCCGGTGCCTGCATAGGGGTTACCTGTAATCTTTCTCTGACTAGTTGTCCATCCCTTTACCTTTTCTGGGAAGTGAGAGCTCCTAGTACTGCTGCTGCCATCACCACTGCTGCTTCTAAGACCAACCGATGGTGTTGCTGCTGTGCTGCTCTATAGGCCAGCCTCCATCCTTCTGGCCTCCTAAGTTGTCTTGGGCTGGAAAAATGTGTCACCCCAACCTTTTGTTAGCTATGCTGCTCCAGAATTTGATTTGATGTGATTTAAGGTTGTTTGGAGGAAAATATTGGGAGAGTTTGGCAGGAATCCTTTCTTTACTCTGCCATCTTGACTTCACTTTCCCCTCCCCCACCCCCTTTACCTATATACATATTGTATCTCTCCAGCACACAGAAAAATGTTCTCTCCTTCTGTGCAGTTGCTGTTTTCTTTTTCTCACCATTGTCTTACAGTGTCTTGCACCTAGTGAGTCTTTAATAAATGTTAGCAAAATTGAAGCTATTGAGTGGAGACAGCTGGTGAGTTGGGCTCTAAACCCTGTTTAATCCCTTAGTATTTGCTGAGCAGTTAACTCTGTAGGAGACCCTATTCTAAGTGCTTTGGAGGAGATCTAGATAAGTAAGATGTCCTCTCTACCTTCAGGGAATTTCCAGCCTATGAAAGGAACTAAGGAATAATATGACTTAAATAAGACAACTACCACCATCAGGAAGTGGGTCGTATGAAAAGAATGTTATGAACTACAAGGACTTTAAAGAACTTAGGTGAAGATGAGACACATCTAAGTGTGGCGGTAGTATTAGTCTCATCTCAAACATTGAGAAAATGACGGTATCCTTTGGAATGATGTACTGGTGAGAGGCAGCATGATTTAAAGAGCCCCAGCCTGGGAACCAGAAGACCAGGGTTCAAGTCCTAGCTTTGTCACTTAGAGGCTTTGTGACCTAGGGCAAGGCTTCATTTTTCATCATCTTTAAAATGAAAGAGTTAGAGTGGACGAGCTCTAAGATCCCTTCCTACTCTAAAATCCTATCACTTCCCCCTCCCCCAGAAAGTCTTCCCTTTTCACTGTTGTCTTCTTGATATTGATAGCATCTGGGGATTTTGGCATCACAGATTTAGGATTGAGAGAGGCTGTAGGGACCCCATAGTCCAACCCCCTTATTTCACAACTGAGGAAACTGAGGCCCAGAAAGGAGAAGAGACTTTTCTAACATCATACACGTGGTAAAGGACAGAGCTGGAATTCAAATCCAGCCTTCTGCCTCCACATGCAGTGCTCTTTCCAGTTCTAATTAAGTTCATTCCCATATCAATTCTAGCCAACTTCAGATAGGCCTTCTGTGCTCCTTCTGTGCCCTAGCTCTATATTTTGTGAAGCATGAATGCCACATCCCGTTATTCAGACGCTTCCCTGTAGTCAGATTGTAGTGAGTGGGAAGCCTGCCAAAACCCCAGGAGCATGACCTCTGGGTTTCCTTCCAACTCTGAGATTCTGTGATTCTGTGATTGGTTGGCATATTTTAATCAGTGCCCTTAACCACACAGCCTGGAATGGTCTAACAGGGGAATGTTAACACATAACATAACACATGCATGTGTTTGTCAGAACCAATCAGTATTATGAAACTCCAGGTGACAGCTCCCTCACTCCCTTTTCTGGGAAATCTAGTGTCCGTTTAGGATCGTGTCCCAGACACGGGCCAACGTTTATTTGAGCTTTCTGAAGGTTGTCCAGTGCCAAATGTGCTGTCAGGCATGAATTTCATTAAAGTCATGAGCTGGAAATGAAGCAAGTCAGACCCACCATTCCAACAAGTTTACAGCACCAGGATTTACTCCTTTTCCTGTATGGAAAGCTGAATATAAGAGATGAGCTTTGGTCCATGTTCTAGAGTTAATCCTAGGGCTTGGTGTGGTCTCTGAGAGAATCTAAAACTAAGATACTTGGCAGAAACCAGTCATGAAACCATCCACCTCTACTTACTGTGTTGAGGAAAGCCTGGGAGAAAGAGGCAGAGTGGGGTGATGGAAAAAGGTTAGACTTGTCTGTTATCCACAAACATTTCAGTGCTTACTGTGTGCTAGACAGCAGGGATACATAGCACTAGGAATACACAGGAAAACAAAAATATAGTCCCTGCCCTTGGGAACTTACATGCAATGGAGGAGACAACATGTAAAAAATATGTGCACACAAGCTACATACAGACTATGTGGAAGGTGACTTTAGAGAAGAAAATGCTTACAGCTGGGGCATAGGGGCAAGAGCTGTAAAAGAGCTGAGTCTTCAGGGAAGCCTTGGATTC